ATGAAGTTTTTCGAAAGGGTTGCATTGAGACAACGTGCTGAATTTCATGGAAGCCACTGGATTTGCCTCCAGTGGAGTTTTTGATGATTGTTCACCCAGGGCAGGCTGAAGGATGTGAGTGCCAGCACCGACTGGCATTTCTCTTGGGGAATCACCTCCTGGTACTGATTTCTGATGGTTGGCCACTTGACCAGCATTGGCCACAGGGAAGATGGAGGGAAGACAAAAGGCAGACAACATCCTATGTCTCTTACTAGTTTTGAATAACTTTGTCTGGAGATCAGGGCTTGATGACTGCCATTAAGTGCTTGTTTTCAGAATGCTTCTGGCTAGGGGATGACTCAGAGCAACCCTCAACTTGGACAAGCTGCAGCCCATGGTGAAAAGAGAAAGTTTCCACAACTGTCCAAAGTAGCCTTATAACATATCAGTACATGGAAACCTGAGTCTGAAATGGGAATGAAGCCCATACATGGGACTTGAAAACCTCTGAGAAATGCATAAAGGCCTCGGAGACGACCTGTGTCACTTCCAGAAGCACAGTCTCCCACACTTGCCAGCTTGAAATGGTTGCCTTTTCCTGTGGAAATGGACTGTGTTTCTTCTTCCAACTTAGAGACGCTACATCCCCCAAAAGATCAACGCCACATTAGGAAAGGAGTCCTCACCTTCCAGGTGTGCCACTGCATGGCAGTGCTGCTAGAGATGCAGACGGAGGCATTCTGGACCCACCTTCACGATGTGTCCAGTGAGAGTGCATCTCAGATGGGTTTAATGATGAATGGGTAATGGTAAAATGCTAAGGGGGATAGCATTGCGTGAGTTCAGTGAAGAAAACAACTAATTGCTTTGAAGTGATTGCCAGGACCCCACCAGTTTACCCTATATTTGGGTAATCCAGTTTCTGGCATGTAACAAAGATGGTTTAAGTTCAACTCAAACAATTCTGTGATTCTGTGGAAGGTATCCTTAAAGGTCATTTAGTCCAACCCTCTGCAGTGATAGTTTTGGACATGCTCTGAAAGCTGAATGCTCACAAGTCCACGGGAACATGATTTAGCAGGGGGTTGTTAGTTAGGGTAGTATGGTTAGGTCGTTGTTGGACTTGATGATCTTTAAGGTCTTTTTCAAACTGAGTGATTCTATGAACAGGAACATCTACAAGAATTCATAGAATCATAGAACTGCTCAAGGTTGGAAAGACCATCAAGTGCAACCACAGTCTGATCATACTATCCTAACTCTAACAAACCTCTGCTCAATCATGTCCCTGAGCACCACATCCAAATGTTTTTTGAGCACATTTAGGGATGGTGACTCAACTACCTCCCTGAGGAGCCTATTCCAGTGCTTCATCCTGAGAGGCAGCACCAGCTTCGTTTAGGATGAAGTCTACAAGTCAGGAAAAGATTTACGGAGCATTTGTGCAGGGAGAGTGACGGTTTCAAGTCTTTGGTGTGTGAAACAAGGTAATATATGAATGAATAGCCATCTTATTATCGGGGTTTTTATGTCAGGAGCAGTTTTAGTGTAAGTTGTGTGATGAAAATCTAGAAACGTAAAGGCACCATGGCACAGTGAGCCAGTCTATGGGAGCAGCTGGAAGGTCCCATTGCTCATGGCAGTTCATGTGTCAAACCTGTGTTGTGAGTGCGCATTCTATGGAATTGGGGGAATGCTGCTAACACCAGTAGTGTTCAGATGCCGGTGGAGGCACTTTGTGTTATTTGCTGAGCGGTGCTGAATATCAGGGATATGGTTAAGCTTGGATTGAGTTCTTGAAGAGCATCTGCTTTTCACGCTGCAGAGGCTGTGTGTCCTGCTGCGGCTTTGGGGTCAGCCCCAGACCCCCGCTGCCGGCTGTTTTCTTCTCCCTGAGGAAAAATCCTTCCCATTGTTAACGCGAGGCAGCTTACATTGTGATGGAGGGCTCGCTCCTCGAGCCTTAACATTGTGCGAAGGGCACGCCCTGCTGAGCACATTGATGCAAAAAATAAAAGCCTTGGGCCGGGGGTGGCGGGGAGGGGCCGGGC